ACAAACACTGAGGAGATGCAATTTTACACTTAGAAAAACATGTAACGGCCTTTCGCAAGATTGATTGAAAAAAATAAATTGCTTTTACTGTGCTGAAGGTTCATATCCTTGGCTAGTTGGATTTTCAGAAATTAAATTTCAAATATTAAAAATATGTCATGACTTGTCAACTCAATATTCTAGTTTTAGCGACTGATTTCGCTAACCAAGCACTTGAAAGTTTCACTTTCGAGACGAGTAGATGGCATCGAGGTGAAAATATTTTTGAGAGTCTTCATAATATAATATTGCACACGCGATGAATGAAGGATTCGATGTTGCTGCTGCACCCAAGTGTAATTAGAAACAGAAATTATTAACTGGAATTCAATTGTCAGGAATTCACGTGCACACTCAACTTAATATTTTCAAATAATCTGTTCGGGCAACTCGCGCGTTTCGGACCGAAATGTTGGTGAAGCATCATTAATAATTTATCAACTTTTAGCAGAATATTGAATTTCGATGTTGCAGCGTGCCAAATGGCTCCACCCGACCGTTTCATTTGAAAGAGCTTGAAGAGTACACAAGAATATTAAGATTTGTTCTTTCCTTCTGGATGCGCGTTTTGGATTTTGTGCCAAAACGGAAATATTGATTTCAAGGGCTATAAAGCGCATAATGTTTCCGCCGTCACCTTTTTTTGAATAGTAAACATGATTTGTTATTGTTGAACTGAAGATCCACACACGCCCTCACAACATGACATTGAAAACTCCAAAGTCATCGATGCATTGATGAAGTTACAAAATGTTGAAGAAAATTACGAAAAATAATCGAACAGCTCTTTAGACATGTTCATCGTAAAACGATTAATCTTTCGCTGGAATGACAACACGTGAAGCAGTTGTGATGCTAGCCTTACAGATTTGTAGCACGTCCATTGCTTCAGAAATTATTATTGCGTCGTACTCTTGCCTAGAGCTACGAACGTACACTACAATCACTACATAAAATTGCCAAGTTGCAAGATCTTATCACTTACCTATAACAGCACACAGAAGGCAGGCAGCGACCAACACGGTACAAAATGTGATCGCCATTATGTGAGTTCATGTGTTTGCAAGAGCTAATTTGCCTAATACATGCAGCCCATAAGGCTCTGCTCCCCCCCTTCGTTTGCAGTAAATTTTCTTTACCTCTCTTCATACTCTATTAGTGACGACTGATGCCCCTGTGACCCCTAAAAGCCATGTAATCACCCCAACCCCCCTTGACGATATATAATAACTAGTCCCTAAAGTGCGGCCGTTTTCAAAACCATCTATTACATAATGATTTTTTTTCCTTCTCGCAATAACGTCTATCTATAGTCTCTACTAGGCATACGTTAGTTAAAGAGTATCAAGTCAACTTCGTGCTTGAAAGAGGTAAGAACTGACAGAATCACACCGACTCTTTTGTTCACCGAAAAGGGTTGTAAAAGCAAAGTTAACACTGACACCTCCATCGCGCGTGACTCGAATTTCTGTCGTTTTGCGAGAGCGACGCGCGCTTTGCGTGGGCGAGGGTACTGTACCGATTATCAAACAGTAATATATCACCAGTGAATAATGCTAATGAAAAGGGATAGATACCTCATTATGGTAAAAGAAGGTTGTGTTTCTAAATTCACAGCTGAATGGTTCCCAAGAGGTTCTAAATAAAAGCTCTGATAAGCATGTAACTCTACTCACCGCAGTGTTTATCTGAGAGCGAAATTTTCCCGTCGATCAGAGTTCTATCGATGGGACCTTCCAGTTTGTGATATAAAAAGACTTCCACTTTTCCCAGCAACTGAAGCTGAAATGAATTATTCTTTTAATCAGTGAACTCGCCAGTATTTTTTTGAAAAAACGATATTAATAATGATGATAAGGATGATGACGATATTGAAAGCGATAATGACAATAATAATAAAAATGATGATAAAATTTGTTGGTGGGGGCCTGGAGGGGGGAAGAGGGGCTGACAAGTCTGAATCTCTAGTCCATCCTTTCTATAGCTTAGTCTCGAGCCCAGATCCCACCGTACCACTGTAACTGAAATGTAGGCCGTGGGATATCTGGGTACAAGACTATGTGTAATGGTGAGGCACGTATGTTAAAATAACCGTTCATTGCTAAAAGTTATGTTCACTTCTGTTTTTGGTTCCCTCTTTTCAAAGCCCTCTTCTTCCCGTGATCAGTGTTTCCTTATCTCTACCCCCCTTTTCACTGACTGGCTATGGTACCTCCCCTCCCCGCTATGAAGTAAAGACATACACGGTAAACATTGTACCTTAAAATGCAGCTTTTTGCCTTCCCTTTTCAGCAAAACCGAAAGTGAAACTGATCCTTGTGCCATGGTGCTAGATCCTTTCCCAAGCAGATGGTCTGTCGGCAGTTTGATCCGTTCTCCATCTTGAAATGAATGCGACCAATCAACAGCATACCTTTGTATATTGACAGTGACTGTGGCAGTGATGGGATCATCGCACTGGTTAATTTTGAAAGTTAAGGTGGCACTCTTTTCCCAAACTGTCACCTCACAAGTGATATTGCTGCAAAAATCACTGACTTTGCAAGGGCCGCCAAGACCTCTGGGTAAGTTAATATCGGGGCATTTTTCAGCGTTGTTGATGCCATCATTGTCGTCATCATACTCGTAAATGTCTCTGTAATCACGGTCTTCACTGTTTCCTTCCACTAGGAGAAATCAGAAGAAGTATGAAGTACCTATGATTTTCAACCCACAACCGCCCTCCCC